GTACCTTAACTTGAACAAAACCCAAGGCCCGAACAAAAACAGAGGAAAATGAAACTTGTTTCTCGAAGTTACTTCCCGAAAGACCTGGCATAACGGCACATAGTATACAAGCAGTTGTCATTCCCAGAACCGCCGGTGTAACTTCCTGCTTATTATTCTAGTGATCTCGATGTTTTTGTCCTTATCCCAGGCTGTTTGCGCCAAGCGGTGTGTGCTCTGCCTGCAAGCGATCCATACCTGCGTACGAGATGGTCATGACGGTGAGTCCGGGTCGCGTCTTCCACCTCGAGTGCTTCAAGTGCTCGCAGTGCGAGAAACACTTCTGCGTGGGCGACAAGTATTACCTGATGGGCGCCAACATCGTCTGCGAGGACCACTGAACCCAAACACACCCATCAAGAGACGTCCAGAGCTCGATGCGTGGATTCCTATAATTGGAGGAATGTGGAGCAGAAAGCAACCTGCACTTGATTGGCTGAGATCGGCCACTGTGTTTGACCGTAACCGTGACTGGTAGACCCATTGTCGACTGAACGCGTTTACTTGGAAACATAAGGCTACCAAGAAACCCCAAATGACAAAATTTGTAGGCCTAACAGTGGTCGATGTTTCATGGGTGAAATAAAAAGATACATAATTCCCGATTGGTTGGTTGTCGCGCTTCAGACTCTATTGTTGGAAGCCACACGGACCAAGGCGTGCATAGCTCGGTGGATTCCTATGATTCCTCCAATAAGAGCCTACGGCGGTGAGTACAGATGTATCTGGTATACACTTTGACCCATCAACAAGACTGCTGTCGCTCTCTAGGTCATTCGCAACGAGCCTTTACCGCCGCCCTGTTGGATCAGACGGTCTTCCAGAAACCGCACAGCCACTGGCTGCCGCATTATCCAATCAACTCTAGACTGGAACACGCATTTGTTGGCACCAGAAACAAAGTGCGCACGACCTATTCGTTGAAAGATGTGTAATGGGTCAATGGGACGACCAAAACATTGCACGTCCATTGTGTTAGATCTACTGAATTAACACTAACCCCCAAGGGTTATTTAAAATCGTATTGAAGTTGAATGATTTGGGACTATTAGGGTTTAAGTTGTAGCTTTCTGTCAACGAAAACTCCTCAGAAGAACTAAAGCGGACTACCAGCTCCTCTCAATAACCGTCGACTTGGACTAGCAAGATTTAGAGTTGAAATTTGTTGATGAATGGAGAGAGGAAATTGTAATCTTTGGGGCCTGAGGAAGAACAGTTTGAATGGGCGGGGGGGCATTGTAGACATTTTGCAGATCACTTGTTTAATAATGGGATACTTTTCTGCATCTTGTCAAGAGTTTAAGGGATAGATGAGCTGTGAATATGTTAGATATCTTCAATATATTTTCTGACAAAATGTTAACTAAAGGAAGTTAGATAATTCACAAATTTCTTTACTCTGTCGTATGCAGTTAATGCATTTCGGTTTTTATTGAAATGTGTACTCTTAATGAAATGATCAGTATGACAGAACAGTGATAGACGAATTTCTACCATCATCCCTCGTTTCGGTTTGCTCCGTTTCGTTATGCTCACTGGCAAGGGAGTAAGTTTGTTTTTGTTTTTATTTTTTTATTTCATGTAGACGTAAAAATAGCGTGTTAACAGTCATCGCGCGTACTCATATTTGCCATTCTTTGAACTCGTAATTTCCAGGGTTGAGACCATTTTTCAAGGCCACTGTGCTGTTTTTAATCGGAGCTTAGCCAATGCATGAGGGCAAAAAGGGGAGCTGGAATGCTGTGTACGTGTTTTTTTTTTCCAGTGTAGTCGCGGGAAAACGAAGTTCCCCTCATATAGTCTTTCTAGATCCCCTTACCGTCTTCGCCACGCCCTCGTTCGTACTGAAACTATCCAACTGGCAAAAGGTGATAGCGCCCTCTATTTATTGCGACCTCTGATTTGTGCCCGTACACATCAAGGTCGAGTTCGGGCGGCCTGTTCTTGACACGGGTTTCGCGTTCTCACGCTCGAACGGGGGAAACATGACCCAAGAACACTTTTCTCGGAACAACTTCACACACCACCTCCTTGTCAGGGTTTTACACGAACACACGGGAAAACTCGTGAGATTTGATTTTTGAAAAGCTGCAAAACTATCGAGATGGCTTACAAAACTGGAAACAATGGAAAGATTTGCACAATAAACATCAATAGTTTTCAACGACAGATATGATTTTTTAATGGAACAGAAGTTAGCTTAAACATTAACTCTCGGAGAATGTACAAGGACGCCGCCATTATGCTTGCAAGTAACTAGTAGCGATAACGGTTGTACGTTCCCAGCGACCGACCCACAAACATCAAATCGAGCTGTTCCTGAACATACGAGAACAAGCTCCCCGAGCTCAGCCCAAGAGAAGCTAGTACGGTTAGCTACAAAAGCTACGCCTGCTATCGTTTTACTCCTGTGTCCACAAGCAGTGAACAAAGAATGAAAGACACTGGAACTAGATGCGACTTATATTAGCCCCTCCACATAATTGCACGCAGTGCTAGTTGTACGTTGTTTGGACTTGCTCTGGAGCCCAGCTTCATTAGAGGGCGCTCTTTTGATGAGAGGCAGAACAAAACATGATGCATTTTTTTTCTTTCACAACACTTTGTGGAAACACAACTTGAATTAGAGCTATAAGCGTGGTTCTGGTGGATTTTTTTTCAAAGGGAAGTAAAGCCTGACTTTTCAACAGGGGAAGCTTCGCTGAGGCATGAAGATTGGTCTCCTCTCAAGATGGGCAAAAAGCATTTTTCCATACAAAGAAGAAAAATAATCGCAAGAGAAAATCAAATGCCCTTCGTTTTCACTTTACCCCTTGATTGATGGGTCATTAACTATTTCCGAACTTGCGCCCTTCCATATGCGCGTCAACACTTGCGACAAGCGTTGCGTATCCGTCAAAAGCGCTCCAGGAGCGTGTGTTACGTTAATTTAACGCATGAATGCATCGTGTACGCAACGCATTTTAAAACCGTAAAGGCGCCTTAACACGTACGTGTATATGTTTGTGAATGCATTGCGCTACGTACGCTGTACACGTACACGTACGTTGAGTCTGTCCGCATAGCTTGCTCTGTGGGTTGGCCCGTAGTGCTTGTAGCATACGGGGGTTGGTAGTCCCGAACGTGAAGCCAGATAACCTCCGTTCGACCGCCTTGGACAAGGCTAGGGAGGCCTACATCATCCGCGGTATCTCTGTGCACTCGGATAAAGAGGAAACACACTGTGACCAACCGTCTCACTCAAGGACACGAGCGCCTCGAGGAAGATTCCCTAGCTGGGTTCAAAGCCCACTATTGACCTTCTATTTGTATATGGGCGGCCAAAGTTTGTAGGAAAATCACCCTTTGAATTTTCCTCAATTTCGTTCAAAATGTACATTTGTCCCTTTCACTCTAAAGAGGATTGTATTTTCATTTAGTATTTAGCAAAGCGCTTATCATTATCAGGCGTTCTGATGATGAGCTGCTTGGAATTTTTAACAATTTGTGAATTAATCTTTTATTTTTGTATTGATCGCCGGCCATAGTTTAAGCAGTCACTTGTAGGAAACAACACAACTATGACGTAAAATGAGCAGACCCTATAGTCTTGTTCGACATCTTAGCCACCGGACCGCACCCTGTCCCACAGTGCAAAGCTCTATGCCTTGGTTGCAGGGCAAATATATCATCTGTCCATCATTCTGTATCGATTCGATTCGAGCCTCCCACCCGTTGTTACATCCATCTCATGTTTGTGCTTTCGTCTTCTTAACTGTCCACAGAAAGACTTCCATTCTGGCAAACAAAATACCTCCTGCCGTCTATGTCCCCATTCTAGTAGCTTCCGGTATTTAGCCTCTTTTCTTTGGCCGTCCATTAAAGAAAAACAATTTCTGGTTTCCATGTCCCAAATCCGCCACTCGAGTCCTCATGAATAAGCCCAAGTGTTTGTCCATTTAGCCGTCTCGAAAAGTCAATCATCCAATTGTTAATGCATTGCCTAAATGCGGCCCTCTCCACCCCGTGCGACCCTAAATGGCCAAGCACTTAAAGTGGGTAACCTTGTCGCTCTGATATTGGGACCCCTTTTGGGTAATGTCATAGAGGCAACAGTGACTGTGACAAATTGACAGTGCCATAGCAATGATAAAGATCGCGACGAGAAGAGAGTCGGTGAAGAAAGGGTCAACCGTCGCCACGACGGTCACACCTGTGGCACTGTTGGGAATGACGATAGCGATAAGCGTTTTACATGTACCGCAAAGACGATAACGGCGACTCTGATGACGGACGACGGCAACGATGATCACTGATGGCGATGATAACGATTTATGACGATGATATTCGTGAAGAATGACGATAGCATTTGCGGTGAATGGTAAAGACATCATGAGGCAATTTCTGGCAGGCGTGACTTCACTTACGCACACGCACGTCGTCCCAAGACCTTCCTTTAAGGCTGTGTATGTTTAGCTCGAATGATTTAGGAGCAAACTAAAAATTGTTAATTCCATCCAGCACCGAATTTGCCTCTACTTCTTCACCCTCTCCAAGCTCCAAATCTCCCCAGCGGAGCGGCGGGGTTTACCGGTCGGCTTAACACCCATTTAATAGTCGCTTGCCAACACACCGTGAGTTTGTCCTAAGGATAACATATTGACACGGGCTACTGTTGTGTCCGAGAATGCCATAAAGGTTTTTTAGGGCGCTGGAGAAGAACCCACACATCGGTGGGTGTGAGGGACAATGGGATAGTTGTCCGAAGGCTGTTTGAACAGCGCAGACGGATTTGTAAATACTTGTACTGCCCAAGAAAGGGAAATCTGACGGGGAAAATCACTTTGTCACAAGAAACTGTTGTAAAAGAGAGAGAGGCAAAAACACATTCTGGGATTAGAACCACTCAACTTTTCGTGCATTGAAAAATATAGTCGGTGAAAATAAGGCTATAATTTTAAATGGCCTCATTTTGTTTAATTTGTGTGAAATTTGACCGACTGTAGAACTGTCCCCCAGTAAAGTACTTAAACGTATTTTCCGTGTTCAAATTTGGTTCAAAAAAGGAGGAAAACGAAGCCTGACATGCCCCAGATGCAATGATTTGGAGCAGAAGTTTACAAAGTTCTGAAAGGAAAGGAAGCATCTATCTTCGCAGCTCTCGTACTTTGAACGTTCGGAAAGGTTGGCAGTTTTTAATTACAGATTGCCATGAAAGGTTGTTTCCCAGGATATAGAAACTGAGGGAGGATCTAACGGCCGTGGACAACTGGTAATTTCGAAATGGCTGAGGGATCTTAGTGATGGCTTTCACGGAGTTCTTTCTTATCATTCTCCAAGGATTCACAGATGCTGAAACCTGTGACCTACCGATTTGGAAAGGAATTCACTACCGTGTTAGATCGTAGTTTTTTAACACTAAACTCGACTACATCATAGTTTCGATTTGTTTGATTATGAATCTCACTCTAATTGTCTCGTCTCTGATTTCAGTTAGGTAGAGTAATTGTCCAGTCTTTGTTTCGAAATAAAGGAGTTCATTTTCAATATGATGGACTCCTTAATGGACATGTTACGCCCCCTATTGTCGTCACCCAACCCCTTTATTTTGGAGAAAACAAGGACCTAATCAGCTGTCGTGGGGCTATACCTATCAATGACAACATTTTCATATCGATGTATTTAGTGAGACGAAGATAAACACAGTTTTCATTACCGCTGGATGTTATGAAGTTCTGTGCGGTAAATGCTTACGTCGCAGATCGTTTGCAATGTCACCTCTCAGACGCCCCCGTATTCATTGCGACTGAAATCACAACATTGCTTTGGAAAAAACTAAGTTTTTTTTTTTACAATGTCAAATCTCAACCAGCCCCAATAAAAAAGTTGTTATACGTGCGCACACAATGACATTTTTATGCCGGTTCGCTGTATGAATCCCACTGTCCAAACACTTAGATCGAATTGTTGCTAAGAACTTTCCTCATACGAATCCGGAAGAATTCATGGCTTTCTTTCAACTCGGCGAGCACCCCTCCCCCCTCTTTTTTTTTTTTTTTTTTGGCGAGGGCGCGAAAGTTTACCCAGAGTCCCGGCTCTCAGTTTGTCAACTCCTCAACACACAATGCTCGTCTCCAGTGCCGAAAGATCGGACGGCGTGGAATCCGTGTCCTTCCTTTAGAGTGGAGTCGCGTTTGGAGTGGATGTTTGTTTGGGGTTGTTGGGTAACAATGGCCTCTTTAGATGAATTATGGGGGCACGGTGCTCTCTTTTTCTTCCCCTCTTTCTTTTTTTTTTTGCATAGTGAATGGCTTGTTGCCGTAATATTATTGCTGGGTTCAGAGCAAAAGGTCAGTATCGTGTTTACCTTGTGTGCCTTAATCCGCTTTGAACCTGAGAAGTATGTCAGCTTTTAAACTCGGCTTTGAAGGGCTGATCGGGCAATCAAATTACACGCATTATCGTCGTGGTTATGACCGAACCAATTTTTCTTTAGAGGGTGGTCGTCCCATTTAAATTG